CCTTTGTAGCGGGTCGGGTATTTCCTGCCCACACCTTACGTGTGTGGAATAAAGTGCGTTACTTGTTTAAAGCGGGGGAGTCGTCACATGCCCATGCGTCAGATGGCCATAGCGTGTCATTGTTTACAAACACGCGTCTCCGCACGAGCCTTTGCGTTTTAGTGTGTCATCGTCGCTTGGGACTCAATTCCCGCGCATGCGCAGGTGACGACCCTCCCGCTTTAACTCATAAGATATAAGCTAGATTTGTGAACAATAAACGCTCACAGACCTAGAGGGCTTTGTTTGTTCTTGGAGGTCAGTTACGCTGTAGATCCAGTAGATCATTCTCCTTCCCATACATTCTTGCGGCCTGGGGGATTGACTGTAAGTGTGTCTTTCTAAGGGATACGACCCTCCAACTCTCGCAAAATAAAATACTAGTAGGCGGTAAAGACAACATTATTCAAACACATTTCGGTTTTACCTTATTTTGGTGTAATGCTTTACATATTTGCAAAGCGTTAATGCAACTTTTAACAACGTCCTAGTATGTTGGGCTATATTAGCAATATTTAAGAATTATATAACGACTCAATGTCCATTATTGTGTGAAACAGGCCAGGGACGGGGTGTGTGCAATAGTGTTTTGTATTCTTCTGACGTAATTGGCGTATAAGATTGAGCCAATCAGAAACTACCATATCTACATATTATGCAGACGACAAACTATCGTTCGCTTCGTTATTATATTTTCCATTCGCACTTTTATTGTTGAACGTTTCACGATGTACGAGACTGTATCATTGAGGTGATACTATTGGTTAGACCACACAGGACTCAGTCACTAACTGCGAGGGGTCCCCCACAATCTGATTAAAATCTGATGTAGTGTACGGGCTTTAATTATTTTGGCTATAAACTTATTTTAATTTTATTTGTTATTACTTTTGTTATTAATACGCTTTTATCTCATTATTTTACTTTGATTTTGATTTTGTGATTTTTTTTAATTCCGCCCTACCTACATCTGATCCGACGCCTATGTAACGAGATTTCAACGAGACCCACTATCGACGATTTTAGTCAACGAATCACATACCTCCTTCTATAGCGCTCATGATGACGTCACCGGGTGGCAAACACACTCAAATAAAATGGCGGATTATACCGACGTTAGCGACCGTGAATAACACGGCTTTTCGGTAAGTTTATCATTGTCAAATGCAACGAAAGTCATTTTTATGTTAATATTGTGACTCGAATGGTTCGACTTTAATCGTTATTCCGCATAGTTATTCTGGTAGATGTTGATTTTGTTTCCACCGATTCGACCGAACACCAGTGTCTTTTTCC